CAGGTCAACAGGTCAGAATCAAACCGACTCATCACTGTGTTGTTGTTGTCGTCGTTTTTCTGCTCGTCCTCAGTTTGTCTTCAGGACAGTGTGCTGGCGTTCTGGAGACACGGGATGCAGGGGCGGAGTTTCAAGACCAACGAGGTGAAGAAAAAAAAAACATGAATTCAGAAGTAACACTTAATGTTGGTTTGTCTGTCCTGTACCATACTGTACTTTACTGTCCTGTCCTGTCCTGTACTGTACTGTCCTGTCCTGTACTGTACTGTACTGACACACACACACGTGTACTGTCCTGTACTGTCCTGTAGTGTACCACTGTCTAACTGACTTTGTCCGTCTGTTGATCAGATCACACAGGAGATCTCTGACAGCACACGAATCTTTAGACTACTGGGATCAGACAGGTGAGAACACACACACACACACACACACACACACAGAGGTTATTATAATTCATGTATTTCTCACACATTACATTCCCTAGACCTGAACAATAAGCTTTTCAAAGAACTTTGTTTTCCTTGAAACATGAAAATTCAACAACAGAAACAGAATAAACAATGTCTGAATAAACTTGAATAAATATAAATGTATAAAAATATATTTACCAGTTTGAAGGAAAGGTTGGCCTTTACTATTGCAAATATATGCCTAATCTTACCCCTAACTCTAACACACACACACACACACACACACACACAGACACAGACAGAGTACACGTGAATACCGTCCCAGTGTTAACTCACACTTTGCTGATGTTGATGTTGATGTTTCATCACTGAAGACGTGCAGACTGTATGGACCCAGAGGCTGAGGACATTGGCCTATCTCTGCCCAGGTACACTCACCGCTCACTGGACAAAGTGGCTCCACAAACTCTGCCTCTCTCTCTGTGTCGGGACTCTGTCGATGAGAAGCTTCATAAATGTTCTGTTGGGGAGGGAGGGGGGGTTTCCTGTGGGTGTGGGACTTAACAGCACAAACACCAAATCACCTGATCCAATGATGAAAATTTAAACTTGACAATCGGATGATTGATCGTTGATTGATCATTGATTGATCGTTGATTGATTGATCGTGTCTGGAGCTGATGATTTGGTGTGGACTCTGAGCTGCAGCTGAATCAGGGGCGTCAGTATTAACACATTTCTATCTGGTTTCTCCTTCAGTCAAAGAGCTTTTATAAAATCCATCCCCTGATTGAAGGCTCCTGGGTCTAATAATAATAATAATAAAACCAAACCTCTAATAATCTCTAATAATCTCTAACGCTATCTGGTCAGAAAAACTAACAACATGCTGGAGGAGATGGGGTTGCTGTGGCTCATGGGAAATGTGGTTCTGTACCTGTGTTACTGTTGTAGGTCACGTGACTCTGTGCTGTAGCTCTCCCTGCATCTGGTGGCTGTAAAGAAAAAAACAAACAAACAATAAAAATAAGGTTAATTACCACCACCTAGTGGAGAATAGATGTGTGTGCATCAGTGACGTTGATGTTACAGAAAGATGTGATTTAAATGAGTTACTGTGATTTATTTCAGTCTCTGTCTTAGAATCTTCAACTATAAAAAATACAAACTCTGAGACTGATGTTTACATTTTTTTTTTAACTTTAAATCTGAATTTAATTCTCTGTCTGTGTGTGTGTCTGTGTCTGTGTGTGTGTTTACACACACACACACACGGAGAGTCGACCTACAGACAACCCTACGGCCCACAGCAACCTCTACATCCTGGCAGGCCACGAAAACAGCTACTGAGACCCACAGTGTATATACACACACACACACACACACACACACACACACTAAACCCCCACCACTGTTGCTATTAAGAGAGTGTACAAAAGAGACACATGTTTCATTCCCCTCACCTGGACTCCTCCTCCTCCTCCTCTTCTTCCTCCCGTCAGCCTGTGGACGGTGTAGCTGTGAAAACTCTGTCTCAGACGTGAACTGTTTCACAGACGTTTTCTAAAAAAAAAAAAAAAAAACAACAACAAAAAACAAAACAAAACATCACAGTGTTTTCCATGTGTTTCAGTCCAGCATGTTGTAGTAGGAGAGCGGGGTGGTCGACGGTTCGAAACCCCCAAGACAGAGACTTCAACCTAGAACCCTAATATAATCCTACACCCCCCCCCCCCCCCCCCCCAGAACAACAACACTGGAAACAACAGCGTCCAGCAAAGAAGTCAACACTACGTCTACTACTACTCCTTGTACTCCCTTTAGTACTACTACTACTACTACTACTACTACTACTACTACTCGTGCTAAAGCTTCACAACACACACACGGCCATCTTGCACAGAGTCCCTCCCTCCTTCTCTCCCTCTTTTTCAAGCGTCACCTTTATTTATTGTGGCATGATGTAACTTCACACTCACCGCGGTGTCTCGTCTCTTCTATTTGTGTTTATTTTCTTCTTTTTTTTTTAAAAAAATGTAAAAGAGAAAATTTGATTTAAAAATCTTCACTACCTTTTAAAGTTCCACCCCCCGACACACACACCCCCCACCACACAAGTGCTTATTTGACACCCCCACCACCACACAAGTGCTTATTTGACCTCTATTTAACTGTTGTAAATATAAATGTAGTATTTTTTTGAGGAACACTAAAAGGACTGGTCGTGTAGATATAGTACGAGTGTGTGTGTATATTTGCTCTGTACATCTGTGGAGGCAAATACAGTCCAGGTGAGACTGACGCCCAGGGGGTAGTTGACTCACTTCCTGTTTCCCTGATCATGTGACAAAGTTCAGGAAGTGACATCACTTGCAGTATGCTATAGTATTCTAATCCTAATCAGGAAAGTGGACGTGATTGTTTTGGTTTTTTTTTTTTTGGCGAAAAATTTAATTTCTCCTCCATCATCTGTTCCTTTTAGTCGTTTTACATCATTTTTAACAAAACAACCGTAATATTAAAAACGTAACGTCGAACCACCTGGTGTTTAAACTTTGCACAAAAAGGACAAAATGTATTTGACAAACAAATGTGATGTCATTATATGACCTGGTGTGTGTGTGTGTGTGTGTGTGTGTGTGTGTGTGTCAGAGAGTGATAGTAACAGTCGTGTCAGAGAGTTACACAGAATCAGACGTCAAATTTAAAAAAACAAACAAACGGGTGAATAAGTTGAATACAGTAAAATAAAAGTGATAATTATACTTCAGGTCTGAGAGAAATCTTTTGGGGGAAAACATCTATTTACCGCTGTCCAACCTGCAGGGGGTGCTATAAAAGCATTGGCTGTAAAATAGAGGAAGTATTTATAAAAACATAAGGATTATGTGGACAAGTCCATGTGACCTGATCCTGACCTTTGACCCAGAGTAAAAATACAAACAGATGACATCATCACTGGAACATTTCCACCTTTCTTTCATACGTTAAGTGATTGAAATCACAGTTTAAACATATATAAAAATATAAATATTAATCATTAGGATCAAACCTGATGATGGACATGACGTGGCTCAATATATGGTTCATTTAAATTATCTGTGTAACTCTTTGACTCCACTCGTTACTGTGACTCTTGAAGACTGTAGTCAACACTACCAGACGTTACAGATGGAGACACTAAAAGTTTGTTTCTCACGAGTAGGCAGGTTCAAAGGTCAGAGGTCGCTTACCTAGCTTCAGCCTGCAGGATGAAGTCTGTTCTTCTTCTGCTGTTGCCTTTTCCAGTGGTACAACAGCCGACCAATCAGCTGTCAGGGCCTACACAGACACAGGAAAGCACATGAGCTGCTGCTGTGAAACTTTCTCATTAGACTAGAAATCTTTTTTTTTGTGTTTTTTTGCTAAATTTAATGCTGTACTGGCCGATGCTGGAGTGTTACTACACTTTACCACCAGGGGTCTCAAACTCAAGTTAGCCGAGTTCAAAACAAAATGTTTATTTTGGTCAAATTTAAATACTATATAAAATTACAGTGCCGACCAGTAATAATTTAATTCCTAAATGGCAGATGTTTGCATTTTAAAAATTGAAACAAAAATAAAATTCAATCTTATTACAAGGACAAAATTATTAATGAAATTTAGTCAGGGCCAAAATGTGAGGTGTTCACGGGATAGAAATGTCCCCCGAGCCAGGAGTTTGTTACCACTGTGTTACAAGTCGACAATTTAGCCAATTCCTGTTTTGTTTTGTTCAGTATGACATTTTTACCCAGTGACAGTTCAGTAAACGCCTCGTGATTTTAACTTTGACCTTCACGCTCGTACACCGACCTCCAGCCCACATCCGTCACATCCGTCACATCCGTCACATCCGTCACATCCGTCACTCATCGGTTTGAAACATCTGAACTGGACCAGAGTCCAGACCATGTGGTCAGTTTGAACGTCGCCGTTTGTTTAGTCATTTACACAATTTGAAGACGTCACATTTGGTCACAGACTGAATTAAAGAAATGGATGAAGCTGCTGGATACAAAATGGAGGAATTTTTATGATTTATTTTATTTTTGCTTGGTTTTAGCTTCTCTAGAACGACTTCAATAATGGATTTACAATGGTTGGCTATTTTTGCTGATTTCATGACATTTTTTTAACCTTTCTTTCTAAGGGCATGTTCTCTAACACTTAGCGATAGCTATAAAAAAAATGTCTATCTTTCAGACAGTTTTGTACCTATAACTATTTGTTTAAGTTTTTTTATAGGTACAATACAGTTCTCAGTGATATGAACTTTACTGACACATTTTCTCTTCAAATTTCCTCATCTGTATTTTGTACCTCAAGGCAACATCCACTTCTTATATTTAGTCTGTACGTTAGACCTAAATATTCATCCAGGTTTTATTTTTTAACTTTTTTCTTTAATTAAACGACCAAGCCTTTTACCAGTGACTAAGAAATTAAACATTCCTTGGTGTGAAATCTCAATAGTTTGTGTAATTTCTGTTTTTATGTAAAGCCACAATGTTGATGAAACCTTTGAATGGCCAAAATTAGGTTTTAGTCTACCTCGCTTTGTGTCCTAGAAATTAAGCTCATGAAGAAAAAAAAGGCAGCCATCAGCAGTGTGTCAACTTAGTGTCAGACGTAAGAAAACAATTTTTTAATTATTATTATTTTTTTCCACATTTGCTGTAAATGAATAGATTTTAATGTTGAAGCCAAGCTTTTTTTTGAAACAAGCAGGTTCTTCTTTTTTTAGGAAATACTTTTTACTCATCCATTAACTTGGAATAACAATAGGTTTCCGTGGGATTTAATCAATCCCCGTTTCTCTGGTCAAACACAGAAGTTTCATGAACATCTGACTCAGTTGATTCTCAATCATGTGGAACTTTTATGCATAAATCATAAATGCTTTTTGGAAATAAACAGATTAGTAATTTATGTTACTGATACAGATTGAAAACCTCGTGTCTCCTCGGCTCTGTCGCTTTTTCATCCACTCTTGTCCTTTTTTTTAAGTTTTCATGTTTTATTGCACAGGTTCTGAACGTGTACATAGTGTAAAATAAAAAATGGGTTTGTTTTACATACTGTATAATTGCCTATATTTTGTTTCAGAAGTGTAACAGATGACAGGTTAACACAATAAAAAGAAGGACGCAAAAAAAAAAAACAGGTCGCACTGCTGTCTTTTGTTCTTTCTGTTAAATATATATATATTTATATATATCATATATATGATTCATATAAATATATCATATATGAAAATGTGAAATGTTTGTTTTTCTGGTCAAAACCTAAAAAACAATTGACGAAAATGTTTGTAAAATTATTTTTAAAATATTTCACTTTTCCTGCATGTTTCTCATAAAATTAGGGCATTTCGAGAACATTTTTAGAATTTTTATTTTCTGTCAGAATGTAAACTTTTCAAGTCATTTTTGGTCAAAAACTAAAAAAAATTACAAATATTTTTGTAAAATTATTTTTCAAAATTTCATCTTTTCCTGCCTGTTTCTCATAAAATTAGGGCATTTAGAGAACATTTTTAGAAATTTTTGTTTATAAACTTTTCTGTCAAACTGAACTTTGTCATTTCCGATTAGAAACTAAAAAATTGACGGAAATTTTTGTAAAATTATTTTTAAAATATTTAACTTTTCTTGCATGTTTCTCATAAAATTAGGCCATTTAGAGACAGTTTTTGGAAAAAAAAATTCTAAAACATTTTCTGTCAGAATGTGAACTTTCCATGTCATTTTTGGTCAAAACTAGAAAAAAATTGACAAACATTTCTGTAAAATTATTTTTCAAAATGTAATTTTTTCCTGCATGTTTCTCATACAATTAGGGCATTTAGAGAACATTTTTAGAAATTTCTTTCTATGAAATTTTCTGTCAAAATGTGAACTTTGTGTCATTACCGATCAAATACTAAACAATTTTGACGAAAATTTTTGTAAAATTATTTTTAAAATATTTAACTTTTCTTGCATGTTTCTTCGTAGCCCCTAAAGGGACATGGGAGGGGGGGAGAAACGTATCTTGTGCGCACGAGATATCTTAGATATCTAAGACATTTTGCCACACATACACACATGGTAATACATTAAAAAAACACACACACAAAAAAAACAAACAATCATGTACAGTACGTACGGTTGGAAAATCTAAGACACCGGCATGTCATGCGTGACATATGTACTGTATATATGGTGAGCATTTAATTAATGTAGGATACCTCAGTTCGACACAAGAGGGCACTGTTGTTATGCCCTCCTATCGCAACGACTGCGATAGGAGAGAGACCAGTGTATTTCGTGATAACTTTCACGTAATTACGTGATGTCTGTAAAGCACACCGAGATTTCTTTGTGCATGAAATAAATAGTGCTCTATAAATAAAAAAATGAAATTAATGAAATAATGAAAGTCCACCTGCAAGCCAAGAATATAGCTCGTTTACACGATTCAGTTGAATTGTACTTTATGCTTGGCCTGAGGCATGGTGAGATTTTACAATTATTGGGCTCAGTGGATGAGATTTATATTATTATGCGTTCTCTCAGAAGAATGAGGAGGATGAAGGATGAGGATGATTTACGTATATCCGTATTTACCTTCACGAACCTCCCTACACTGTTATCAACAGTAGAACAACAACAACAGTGCCCTCTTGTGTCGAACTGAGGTATCCTACATTAATTAAATGCTCACCATATTTACAGTACATATGTCACGCATGACATGCTGCTAACTTAGATTTTCCAACCGTACGTACTGTACATGATTGTTTTGTTTTTTTAAATGTATTACCGTATATGTATGTGTGGCATAATGTTTTAGATATACTTTCTCGTGCTCACGAGAAAGTATCTCGTGAGCACGAGTTACGTTTCTTTTCTTTTTTCCCCCCATGTCCCTTTTTGGGCTCCGTTTGTTTCTCATGAAATTAGGGCATTTAGAGAACATTTTTAGAATTTTTTTCTCTAAAATTTTCCGTCAGAATATAAACTTTTCATGTCATTTTTGGTCAGAAACTAAGAAATGTGACAAACATTTTTGTAAAGTTATTTCATCTTTTCCTGCATGTTTCTCATAAAATTAGGACTTTTGGAGAACATTTTTAGAATGTTTTTCTTTAGAATTTTCTGTCAAAATGTGAACTTTTCGTGTCATTTCTGGTCAAAAACTAAAAAATGTTGACGAAAATTTTTGTAAATTTATTTTTTAAATATTTAACTTTTCCTGCATGTTTCTCATAAAACTAGGGCATTCACAGAACATTTTTAGAATTTTTTTCTATAAAATTTTCTGTCAGAATGCTAACTTTTCATGTCATTTTTGGTCAAAAACTATGTTTATAAACAACCCAGGAGCCAGTCTATTAAAGTGGAAATCAAGATGATTTCATTCGTGATGAACCGCAATTAAAATCATGCACGTATTATTTTAACATTGGTGTGAGGCGCCATCTAAGCATCGGTGCTAAGCTAGGCGAAAATAATCGATACCATAGAGGCACATTTTGCTTAACGGACAACGGTCTTAACCAAACGACAAACATAACATTTGGGAAACAGGCAAAAACACAGATACTCTACTTACCGCCATATTCTTTCGCGGGTTTGACGTGGAAGTTTTGAGAACGAGAACTCCGTCCGTCGGTGCAGGTGCATTTTGAATCGTATGATTGCTTCGTTTGCGTTTAAAAAAAACAAAAAGCTGGCTGAGATATGACGAAAGATTCCTTTATGTTCTTGGGTCTTCTGCTCCACGGGAACTCTCTGCTTGGCAATCCTCAACCTGCGTTTATTGTTTGGCACCAGCCATAATCCACCGACATTTTATCTCTTAGTCCACCGGCTGATAGTGATTTGTCGTTCGCGAGTGATTCGTTCGATATGAACGAATCTTTCATATGACTCGTGACACCCGAGTCATATGAAATATTTGTTCATATTGAACTCACGAATCACTCACAAATAACTCTATGTGAACTAATCATTCTCTGTGAACTAATCTTTTGCTGTGAACTAATCCTTTGCTGTGAACGAATCACTCTCTGTGAACTCATCTTTCGCTGTGAACGAATCTTTCGCCGCAAACTAATCTTTCGCCGTGAACTAATCTTTCGCTGTGAACGAATCACTCTCTGTGAACTAATCTTTCGCTGTGAACTAATCTTTCGCTTCGTTCTCGCAGATTCGTTTTATTTGTCACGTGACAGAGAGCCCGGGTCTCTTTTGCTCTCATTCATCTTCACATTGTGGTGTGTTTTTCTTTCTTATATTTCCACATGGTTTAATTGCTTTCAGTATTTAGTATTTAGTGTCGGAGAACCGCAGCCTTCTTTACAATCAAAGATCCGAATCAGTAAAAAGAGTCGGTCTTCCCATCACTACTAACGGGTGTAATTGTCTTCAAATTATTGTACTTTTCCGTTATCTAGTGGTCATACAACGGAACTGCAACCTCTCTAATACAATCAATAATATAAATTACAAAATACTATTTATTTTCAATAATTCAAGGTGTCAGTGGCAATTTATGTACGATCGTTGTTTTTTTTTTACTAAATACAGAACATGAATACATGAATGTTGCATCACAATGTGTCACATCTTTATTGCAATACTTTCATTTTACTTTGGTTGCATAGGTCTTACTTACCAAAAAAAAACCAAAAAAACTATGACACAGTAATACCAAAATACACGCACGCTAGTAGAAAACTTTTCTGTAAATCACATTAAAATATATCAACATTTTCCACAACAGTTCCACAGTTATGATTGTTTAGATATAGAAATATATATATATAAACTCACAAAGCACTCATGTCTAGGCCATTTGGAAGAGGTAGAGATCACAGACACACAAGTACAGCCACAAAGTACCAGACATCATCTTCGACTACTGCATCACACTGTGCACGGTTCACAACCTCACATACTACACTGATACTCACACAAAAAACAACGTTTAAACCAAGAACAAAAACCGTATTCTATGCTCCTTTTATATCAGTGCAGTGCCATCAGTTCATTACAGGCCGTTACAAAAATGTTAGTAGGGCACAACATGGCAAAGTGCACGACTGTAAAAGACCTTGATACCCAACGTTCGATTGGGCTCAGAGGTGAAATCAGGTGATGTCGCTGAAATCATTAGTATTAAAAAGATCTTTTTTTTTTTTTTTAGCAGGTGATGTCCCTGAAATCATTAGTATTAAAAAGATCATTAAATTTATTTTTTTTACTTTGCTTAATTGTCCAGATACTTTGACATGTACTGATGGCTGAATTTTGAAGTTTTAAATATTTTTTAAATTAAACTCCACACAACTCAATTCATGCATGAATACCGGTAATTTGTGTTGATCAGGTCCACGAGGCTCAGAATGACGCAGACTTCGATAGTTCTTCAATTCACCCACTTATCGCTGCTCTAATACACAGTACAAACATGTCATTTACACAGCCTGCGGAAAGAGTTTTTGTTTCACTTCACAGTCAGATGAATTGTTCAGGACTGTAACTTGCGGAAAGAGTTTTTGTTTCACTGAAGCAACAACAACAACAGTCAGATGAATTGTTCAGGACTGTACACCGATTAATGCTGTGGAGGGACAACGAGACAACGAATGGACTGAAGTTTAGAGGAAAAAAAAGACTCTCCACACGTTCTGTGAGACACTTCCTTCCTGTTCCAGAAGTATAAAAAAAATTTTTTTTAACCATATTCGGGAGTATTGATTTGACCATAAACTGATTGATTAATCCACAGATACCAAGTGATTAATCATATTTTTTAAAAATGAAATAATTTGAAAATCATTTGTTTTAACATATTTGCCTCTTTTCAAACGAATGAACGAAATGAATGAAGGAGAAGATTCAAAAGGAAAGAGAGAAGTTAAAAACAAACGGATGACCTTTAAGCAAACATTCTTACGGGACAGGAAACCGTCAAAAAGAAACATCCTTTAACAAATAACAGAATGATGTGTTGTGTGTTTGTGCTGGTGGACCTTCCCGTTGTTCCTCACTCAGATAAACATCTCCTTGTTGACCCACATGAGTGTTCTGGTGTCGTTGGGTTTGCACTCGTACTCAATGCTGTTGAAGCTGTTGCCCCACTGACAGTGGTCCCTCTTGTTGTAGTTGTAGTACTTCACCTGCCACACGGTCTCAAACATGCCCACCTCTGTGAACTGGAGGACAGACACGCACAAGTTCACTGCATCCTGCTGTAGCACATGCAACAAATACTGAGATACAGTGGAGAAGTAAACCAGTAACCATAGAAACAACTGTAACCATCAAAGTGTTGTTAAAATATCTGTTACCATAGAAACAACTCTGCCAGCAGACGTATATCAAAATTAATGGACACAAACGCTGTAGTGAAAGACGATGATTAACAAGACATGGAAATAATCATAATAATTCTGATCTGATAAATTCATACCTCGATGCTGATTTGAACCGGTTGCCTCTCTCCACTCTTGGTGTGTGCCACCCCATCAGTGTTATACTGACCAGCGTAGACCACTGACTGAGGGTCCTTGGACTGCTGCTCCAGAGGAAAGGTCACCCCACCCACACTCATTGACCTGCATGCAGGTGACAACATGTCAACAAACATTTGTAAAACCAGTGGTTCAACATTAGCTCTGACATTTGTCTTATGTTGAGCCAATTAAAAATCATGAGGCCAAGTCTAAAGTTTTGAAAAAAAACGGAAACTACTTGTTATTGTGCCATAACACACCACAAAATGTGACTTTTTCACAGAGATTGGTGGAGGTGGAAACTACTTGTCACCAGGGGATGAAACGGCAGTGCTCCTAGAAATCGTGGGGGCGGTGCTGTGCCGTATCGCGGACTTACGCCCATAAAATGAACAGCGAGAAGAAGACAAGGAGTCGAAGGACAAACAGAAACGTCGAGTTTTTAATCCAGTTGTATTTCAGCTTCAAGTGTTGCCAGGGTGAAAGAACTCTGCCCCACGGCCTTCTTTGTTTCTTTAACCAATCAGATACTAGCAATTCTAATGTCTTCTAGCAGGCCACAGAAGGAAAGGAAACTACTTGTCATTGTGCCATAACACACCATAAAATGTGACTTTTTCACAGAGATTGGTGGAAGTAAATAAATACCAGGGGATAAAACTGCGCAGTGCTCCTAGAAATCGTGGGGGCGGTGCTGTGACGTATCGCTGACTTACGCCCATAAAATGAACAGCGAGAAGAAGACAAGGAGTCGAACGACAAACAGAAACGTCGAGTTTTTAATCCAGTTGTATTTCAGCTTCAAGTGTTGCCAGGGTGAAAGAACTCTGCCCCACGGCCTTCAAAATCAGAAGGCAATGAGATTGTTTCTTTAACCAATCAGATATTAGCAATTCTAATGTCTTCTAGCAGGCCCATAGATACAATTTAGCGATTTAAGGGAGTTGATTTGATGATCAAAAGGACACACTGTCTCCAAGCAAAGTTGCATCGAGTGATTTACACCCACGAAAATTAAGTTTTCTCTGCTTCCACTAATCCACTGCCGAGCGGACATTTTCAGCCCAAAGCGAAAAACAAAACATATGCCACAATATTTGACAGGACAGACTTGAACTTTCAGTATTTGAAGGAACGTCGATAGAAAAGGACTTGACGTAAGAACTTCAACGTACGGATAATCTGTACAACAGGTTAATCAAACTCATCTTCATGTAAGAAGGAAGAACGGATTCGTGTACAAAAGATCAGAAGTTTTGGTGAGTAAAATGATGTAAAATAATTATATTATATGACTATCGATGTGTTTTTTATGTCTATCATGTCGCAGTTGTGGCAGAATTGTGATCCGTGGGTTTGTTGCATTAGTAATGTCGTTATTATTACTACATGAGTTAGCATGGCTATAACGACTACAGCGGTTTCTATAGCCGTGATAAAGTTGTTAGGAAGTGGATTTGTTTAGCAGAGAAGTATACGCGGTACGCCACTGTTTTTACGTATGTCATTGTAAATAGCGAATAAATTAGGATTCATAAATTTGAGAAACTGCTGTGACAGTAAGGACAGGGACATTGAAGTCCCTAAAACATGACTGATTTGGGTAGATGGAACTAGAATTGTGCTCCGATTCACATCTAATCGCCACTTCTTATTTATAAAGTTCGTTGTGTCTTTTGTTTGCAGATAGTTGGAGTCAGAGTAGAAGATATGGAATATGCAATATGTAAATCAATGTGGCAACCCCTGAAAAAAGGGACAATGCCGAAAGAAAAAGAACAAAAAAAGAAGTTGTGTCATTGTTCAAGGATCTACTTTGTTTGTGATAAAGTAGTCTGATAACACTTTGTTTTTGTTTTTTAATAATGTTGAGATTTAAGTGAAAACTATGGTTTTTAGTAGCTACTCTAATCAACTTATTGTTCCCAACATTATAACGCTGCATCCGATAAACCTACTGCTGTTTATGTTTCAGTCATAAAGGTTAACAGCTGTGTGAAATGACCATGGGCGTCACGTCATCATGTGACCTACTTCTGTGAAATATTCAAAATGCTCACTGGGGCAGAATACACACTCTCATACAGAGAGTACTTTAAAAAAAACACAACAGCATACCCTGCTTACAGGAGTCCAACCAATGTTTGACACAAAGCACAGACACCAGTCATAATCTGAGGATTTGACATGTGGCCAGTTGAGGTTTATGCTGCCTTCAGGTGGTGCTTTGTAAAATCCTATTTCCCAGAGTTGTAGTCTGTACTGAAGGAGTCCCTCTGATCTACGGTGTTAATGACGAAAGTGTAGCAAACGATATTTCTTCCTGTGTTGTTCCTAAAACGAGTAACTGTTGAAGGTGGGAGTTTATTATGCGCGTGCGATGTACAGTATAACCACTTGACCCTTGAACACGTACAACATTTAGGACGTGTGCCAATAGCGTCACCTGGGGGTCAATAAGTTACAGTTTATCACCCTGTAAAAAAGAGGCAGAGAAAATCACATGACCAAAATAATGTTTGTTATAAGTATGACTTCTAGGCCTTATACACACATATTACTGTAAGAAATAATCTTAATCTTGTATTTATAAAGTATGTTTAGTTTATATGAGTAAATATATATTTATCATTTTCATTGAAGGCTCCCCAACCAAAAAATGTGGAGACACTCACAGGGGTGGGGGTCCATGTTAAAAGGGCAAACAACCTAATACGGTACCTACGTACATTAAAGCCCTCTGTGGTGCTATTTTGCATAAACTGATGACTATGATTCTATTGACAAAGTGTGATTCATAGTTTTACTGATTTGTGTCAGTTTGAAAAAAAAAATCATCTAAATATTAAATGACCGAACCGTGATCGTCGCTGAGATTCTATTTGAACCATTGGATTCTCGTCTCTTTCTACAAACACGAAGAGTGACCTACGTGGCTTGGACCGCTCCGGGTTTCACCACCACCTGGACCTTATATTTGGATCCGGTGAGCAGTTTGATGGTCCGGGTCTGACCGAACCTTGCGCCGTCGGATTTGAAGTAGACGGCGGTGTCGTTGGGAAGCATCTTCAACGTAATCCCGATTTTGACGATGTGCGGGGCTTCGGCCATGTTTCAGTACAAACAGCGGCACGTCTGCACGGCTGACTTTTGGTTGTTGTGTGTGTTATTTGCTGAAGGTCTCCCGTTGGAATCAGTCCATACATACGCGGAAATTCCGTGCGGAGAGGGTCATGGTAGAGACCATACAGCAGCGTAATCCTGTCTAACCTGCAGGCGCTCCAGATTAAATCCCAATCCTAATGCTCTCTCTCTCTCTCTGTCTTTCTATCTCTCTCTCTCTCACTTTTTGGTTATATAGCCATCTGCTGGCAGAGTGGTCTGAAGTCACTGATAGAAGTCAAAAGAATAGGAGCAGATAAATTTAATAGTTTCAAAGGTGATAATTACCGCGTGCCTCGTTTGATAATAATCAGTATAATAAACATACATACGAGCAATTACGTCCATGTACTGAAGTGCGATACCAATATTCAACCGCTAGAGGGAGGCATTTCCTTACTCATTCACTCGCTGGAACTTGGCTTCGGTCAAAGGCAACACAGGGATTGATGTAGGAAATCTACTTAATGTAGGAAGGAGTGGAAGAAGGAAAAATAAATATAAATAATAAAATGTAAAAAACAGAAAAGGGAAATAGGAAGTTAATGAGGAAACAAACGTGAAAAACACTGAAGAAAAGTGACAAAGTGACCTGTGAAAACTGAGACACTGAAGGACAATGAAGTTATTAATTCATTTGACATCTTTTTTGACAGTTTTTTTTATAGCGCCAAAATGTGAATGTAGAATTAGGCAGCACGTGGTTGACTGGTGAAATGACTGGGCTGATAGTAATCTTCCGTCAGGGGTTTTAGAAAGTAGTGAAAACAAGAGTTGACATGTTTGTCACCCTGCTGATGGTATTCTTTACACTTTAAAATGTAAACACAGGTTTATACATTGGACAAGCCAATTCAATATATGAACCTAAATATATAACCTTAAACCTACCTCTATATTTTATTTGACTGACGAGATCAGCCTCATGTTAAATCTTCCTAAATTTCCCCAAGGGAAATTCCAAAGGATTCATAAAGTGCTATCTATCTATCTCTCTATGATCCTCTATAAACCTCATGATTCCAGACTCTAATAAAAAAAGAAAAAGAAACCTAATGTTTACGTTGTTGGAGTTATTCATTTCAACTTGTCTGGCCCGGAGCCAATCATAAACCAACAAATACTCTGCTTGTTTTGGTCAGATGGCCGGTTCCCTGGCTGCGTAAGACCTGCGTCATTTAGCGCCTCTTGGTTTTAATACGACCGTCACATGAAGCCAGCGGAGACCACCTACCGACCGTGTCCAGTGGTTCGGGGTCCAATCTCTGCACTCTCTGTTAGAGGGAAGGAAGGAAGAGAGAAAAGGGGGAGTGAGACTTGTGGAGGTTGTGGGAGGGTGAGCGCGCCCTCCCCCAGCTGAATGTCTGTAGATGGATCCCCTCCTTCTTAACCAGCCTCTCGTCCAACCTAGTGCAGATGGTCGAAGAGGCCAAAGGAGAGAGAAAACCATGAGGCGGTGTGGTGACATGAACAGAACTCAGTAGCGCTTTCACTCATCGACTCCTGCCGTTTGGTCCAGTCACAACTAAGGTCGACTCAACTCCACACACCTCTGGCGCGGAGAGCACTCGGTTGCATGTGCGAATGCCCGCGGTTCTGCCGGCGCACTCCACGCCTGCGCTGGTGATGCCATGCCGAGAAGTCACACCGGCGACGAGATCGGCAGCAGCGGCGGAGGTGGAGGCAACACAGCCAACACAGCCAACACAGCCAACACAGGGGACACCGGGCTCTGGATAAAGAGCTCCTCGGCACGCCGGGCGCAGGATTACGCACTGAAAGATGTGGAGTCCGGGCACAGGGAGATGAACAACACGGCGCGCGTCGGGGACGGTCTCTTGTCTCCCGGAACGACAGGTGCGGCGGGAGCGGAGAGGAAGCAGGGAGCCCGGCTCAGTCTTCTGGGGAAACCGCTGACCTACAGCGCGCAGAGCGGTCGCCGGAACGCCCGGTACCGACGCCTGCAGAATTACCTCTACAATGTGTTGGAGAGACCGCGTGAATGGGCGTTTATTTACCACGCGTTTGTGTGAGTACTTTCGTTTTTTAGAACAACATGTGCTGCAGATTCACAGACAATCTCCAACACCCGTTCACTTTATTTACCTGTGCTGCAGATTCACAGACAGTCTCCAACACCCGTTCACTTTATTTACCTACTTTTCATGAACCATTTAATCCAGAGAGATCGAACCCTCGAAAGACTTGTTTAGAAATATATGTTAAAATTAAACCATGTCACATCAGACTGAAGTTTATCTCAGTTATTGATCATTTAAAGTCATTTTGTCAAACCTTGGCTTCAGATCATGTTTAGCTGCAGCCTCCACATCATGAGCCCCGTCATCATTAGTAAAAAGAAACAAAAGTATCTCTGTGCTCAACCCTATATCCGGTGAAGACATCCTGCCCAATTAGTCTGATTTAATTAGTGGTTGTGTGTTATTACAGGGTTTCAGATGACGATCGTTATCACCTGTTGCTTCAGCCAGAGTGTGTGTAGGAAACTGAAGCTGCAACGCAAAAATACTATAATTCTGCTGTAATTGTTGATGGAGTTTGATGGTGTTGACTGACAAAGAAAACAGCTGCAGTTGCAACAACAGAAGGCAATGCAACAAAGTAACAAAGTAACAAAGGTCTTGGTGCTGTTGTACTTTTGTAGCTCCTATCTTGCTCTGTTGCAGACAGTTGTGCTGCCTGAGAGGCACCTGCAGTTGGCCCGGTGCCACCAGTGCCCTTACTCCTCAGCATGACACCTGTGACGGAGAGAGAGTTAACATTGTAGAGGGAATTATGGGATGTGGTGAAGGAGGATGACATTGAGAAGATTAGTGTGACAGAGGGGGGGAAAAAAGGATGGATGCTTCAGAGGAGGGATGTGGCTAATCTTTAGTCTTCAAACAACACATACTGAGATGGATAGAGATCTAGGAAAAATCTCTGAAACCTCTGAAAGGTTTTAGTGAATTTATTCTGCTCCCTGGGCTAAATCACTGATTAAATTTAGGAAATATATGCAGCCTGCTCCTGCTTCATGCAGACTCAATCTTCACCAATTTGGACCTAATTTCAGACATTCAGGAGGCATCAGTCAGTGTTTGTCTACTCTTAATAGGATTGGTGCTGATGTTGCCTCGTGCTGTTTGTATCATTGAATCCGTGAATCCACCTGCAGTTCTTCTAATAATAATAATCTTTGCAGTTTGCTTGACAATCTATGAACTGTTTGACTGTGCACAAATGGTGAGTTAAGACACGGCCACCTATTTTAGGTTCGTGTCTTCTCTGCTGAGGCGTATTTCTCTCATTGTGGCTCAGTGGGGATGAGGTCTGCCAGACTCAGGGTGTTTTGTGTCTGGGTTTTCAGGACTTGTGCACAGACAGACTCTTGCATTGCCTCACAGAACTCAGTCAGGGTGAGGCGTCTATTGAATCTGGTAGATTTTCATGTTGCTGTCCAAAACGATTAGTGTCTGGATCAAATATATGCAGATAAACAAACAAAACATTTGAAAAAGCCACCGTACATGTACGGCCCCCGAAAAGTCCCTGAAAATGACCGTTTAGACACCGATGTTTAGTTTCATCTCCTTTAATAAACAATAGCAGCTCGTAGGGATTTTTGTGCATTTAAAGAAGTTCAGTGATGTTTTGAAAGCAAGATGCTGTAAATGTGTTGGTCTGGGGAGGGGGGGGGGGGGGGAGGGGGGGTAGTCACAGTCACAAGTCCTGACTTGTGGACAGGTGTTGCTCAGTACTTCCTGCCACAACAGTTTCCTGAGTTTCCTCTGTAGATGTTGCTCTTGTCTGTGCAGCAAACATCATCCTGTGTTTTATTTGTCTCTTAGTCAAACCTTGGAGAAAGCTAGCCTCGCTAAATGTTTCCTGTCTGGCTTCTGGTTATTGGCCATTTATCTAATTATGAACATGAACTGAATCTGCACACAGGTTTTAGTCAGTTTTTGTTGGAGATTTCTGCAAAGATTGGCCCTGCAGGTACAAGACCGTACAGTAAAGTCACATGGTCCGTCTGGTTAATGCTGTGTTAGAAAAGGTTGTGCTGTGAGAAGGAGGAAGTGGAGCTGTCAGAGAAGGGGCTGCGAAGCCGGATGTTGACTTTTTATTTGCTCAGGCGGGACAGCTGAGGTCAGCGGGGGTTAAGTTGTTACATCTGCTCTGGACTACAGCCTCCCACACTTGCTAGCTAGCATCAGCTGCAGATAGGAAGCAGGCAACTGGAATGAAAGATGTCACGGACATCAAACTCATCTCAGTACCGCGAAAACCTCCAACATTTGAAGGAGTTAGCTCCAAATGTGTGCTCAGCGACTACAGCAAAATTCAGTTTTAAACCTGTTTTCATCCGTTAGCCTGTTGGACGACGAGCCCATGGAGTGTTTGTGGGTAAAGTTCAGGGGTTAAGGTCACAGGAAACTTACAAATCATGTTTACATCTTTATCACAAGAATTAATGCTGTAACAACAACAAACAGCCAGAGGACAGATGAGGACAGTGATATTGTATCTTCCAAAAGCCGAAGGCCATTTTAACTTTGACGTAGAAATGTTTGCACAAACATTCGGACCATATTTCCTGTGTTTTGACAGGTTTGATGATGCCTAAACAGCGATACATTATTTGCATTATCTAAAAAAAAGTTATCCTATATTCCACTAGGGGGCGCTCTAAGTATAGATGTAAGATTTTTTTGATGATTTGCAAATAAAGGCACATTTTTGATTTAACACCTATCGTTTTGATTTAGTATTTCCTTCAAATAAAGGCACATTTTTGATTGTTGATTTGAACACCTATTGTTTTGATTTAGCATTTCAACACCACAACATAGAGAGACAGAACACTGTACTGCAGTTCCCTCAAGACAAAGTTAAAAAAAAAAATCTTGTATAAGTAAAACCCTAGATTTGAAGAAGTGAGTTTCCTCACATGAGACTATTCTTCTCCTATTGTTAATTACCAAAAAGTATGTTCCAGTAATTGTCCTGGCCCTGGTGTTCTCAGACTCCTGACACTTTTATGTGAACTCTTGAAGGATTTATCAGTGAAGACATTCCAGTCCCATACATCACTGCACCGGCAGCAATCTCCAGAATTAGATTTCCAAAAAGATAGAAGAGGATTTGGCCCCAGTACAGTCCCAGCGTCTCCTGTAACCGCCTCCGATACTTTGTCAACATTACTACCTATCACGGTGTAGTCGTTCAATCATAGAGGTTGGATGACATCATTTTTGTTTCTTATTTAAATTTGCTCCTGCAACCTTTGATGAACAAGGAGACGTTGCCTGTCGACAGTTAAGGAAAAAAAATGTTGCGAATCCAAAAATACTAATCCATGTCGTGTTTCTATTCATTTATTGATCGACATTTGGCCTCATTAGATGATGCTGGTCTTCTGGGGTTGGTATCATGTCAAAGCTCGACCTGATTCGTGCCCCAGTCAGAAATGTGTTCCTTTAATGATTATTTAATTGCAACTTTCAGCCAGCAGCGTTAAACATTCCCTTTTACAGTCACCACAGACTTGTGGAAACTGCTCCAAGTCATTAACTAGTTCAACTTTACTGAGCAAATAAATCAACTTTTTTGGCAAGTCGTTTTACTTTTAGAAACCAAATCATAATTTATTCATATGATTTAAAGCTTTCATGCAAGGTCAATGGAAAGTCTCTCAAATTTCATGTAGTTTCTTTTTCTTTTTTTAGAAGACATAATTAATGTAGTAATATTATCTGCCCTTATCTCCGTCCATCTCCCGGCACCTCTGCTGTTACATCCACCATCTTCTCTGTTCTCTTTTTCTTCTCCTCGTGTTGGACAATGTTTATTTTCAGAGGCAGCGGTGGCTCAGTGGTTAAGGAAGTGAACTTGGGTTTGAAGGGTTTCAGGTTTGAGTCCACCAGCTGCCACTGAGCTGCTCTGAGCAAGGCACCGTCCTCATACACACTGCTTATAAACTGCTCACTTTGGTGACGGGTGAAAAGCAGAGGACAACTGTTCACTTCTCTTTCGTTTCCTAAACTCCAGCTCCAACATCCTTTGTCCAACCATCTCCACTCTCTGTCCTCTCAAATTTATCTCCAAACTGCTCCACTTTAACTGTCACTCTGATCTGCTCAAGGATAGTTTGCAAACACCTACAAACAGGGACATTTTTACCAACCTCTACCTCACAAAGTTGTTTTTCTTTTTTAATTTTTGACGCCTCTACCTCTTAGCTCTGCACTGCACCCCTAATGGATGATTCACTTAATAACAATGTCAAATGTAAGGTATGCATAGTCATCCATGTGCACTGACATTTGAAACAGTTTACAGGATAAATTAATGAAGCTTCTATTACTTTGACTATTGACGGTGTAAACACTTGTTTAATCTTGGTCTCGTTTTTTTCTAGGAATCCACGTTTGTCTGGATGAACAGCCCGTCAGATCACGTGTGTTTGTGTAGGTGTTTGAAAACTCTCCTTGTGCTCGAGCATCATCAGACTCCATGATGTTCTGTAGATGTAGCGGCTGATGGACTGCAGCATGAATCAGGACACTGATAAGCATCTGGGCTCGCTGCCTGCCAAATAGTGCTCCCACACTGAACCATTAGGATTCATTCTGCTAATGAGATGGCGTGTCTTGAGATAATCACATTTAGCTGAAATGGGTTCCAGCCACAGTTTGCATTAGGTGAGCGATACACGTAAGATGTTTCCCCTATTACAGTTGTTTTAGGTTTTGCATTTTAATAGTGAGGAAGAAGAAAGAAGATTGTTGAAAAGAGGAACAGCAGACCTGGTGTCAGTCAAACGTGGTGTCTTACATGAACCAGTCTGGAGCAGAATAGATCCTAGGTCCTAGCTGATCAAAAACATGTCCACAAAGACTGCTGAAAACCTCCGAGTGTTTCCATGGTTGGATCATACGTGTGTGCAGGCACAGAGGCATTACTGGTGGTAGTGGTGTGCTGCACTTTTGGTGCAGGTTTTGGAACATTACTTAGCCATAAAGTCTG